CCGCAGGCTCCCCAGAGCCCGCAGCACCCCAAACGGGGCCCCAGCCTCGCCCTCGCGGGCAGGCACAGGCCCCACACGCACGGCCCCCCCCCCCAGAGGCCAAAGACGCCGAGCCCCCAGGCTCAGCCCCGACGGAAGCCCCAGCCCCGCCCCCGCGGGCAGGCACAGCCCCCCCCCCCCCCCAGCGCACCCCAGCCGAGCCCCCAGCCCCAGCCGACCCAAGCCCAGCATCAGCAGGAACGGACCCGGCCGATGCCCCAACCCCACGGGCCCCCCCAGGGCCACCAGGCGCGCACCCCCCCCCCCCCACACAGACCCCCAGCGGGCCGTCGGCGGCCTCGCGGCGGCACTGGCGGCAGCCTCGATCAGATTTGCCTGCATTCGAGAAATCGTAGAAGGCACACACCGTCGATCCGTGCCTCCCGCCAACTGCCTGCGAGCCTCGGCGGTCTTCGCAGTGCGACGACATCGACGACACATGAGCCTCCCTCGAATCTCGATGAGGTCATGCTCATGTATTACCAGCACCACTCTGGCTCCATTAGCCTTGGGAGCCCTGCTCGGGGCGGCCGTCAGGACTGCCTTCTCAGACCACAGATCGAGCTGACAGCTTCTCTGGACCGCCCACGACAAATACTTGGCATACTGGGCAGCCTCTGTCAGCGAGTCCTTATAGAACCTAGCATGGGCCTCTGGGAGCTTGACCGAGAGGGCTCCCAGCTTAGCGAAAAAGTCAGCCCAACTATTCCCCACGACCCAGAGGTAGGGAGGAGGCAGAGGGTCCTCAGGAGCGGGGAAGAGAACCTCATCCCCAGTCCTGTGGGAAGGGACCCATGCAAAGGCGGGCTGCGTTCTTTTCAGTGCCACCAGCTGGCGCCACACTGCAGAGCATGCGCGGCTAGCATCAGTGAGGCCCTCCGTCTCTGCTTGGCCCCACAGCTTGCCTTCCTGCACAAATTCCAGCAAGTCAGAAATCACGCACTGGACCGAAGGCATGTGCTGAAAGGCCTTGAGGCCCGCAACACGCTCTGCACGGCCCAATGTCTGCTGCGCGCCTGCGAGCCCGCCATGCAGCGCACGAGTGGGGGCCCCATTGGCATTCAGCATGACAGCGGGCCACCCGCACCGACGGAGCTCAAGATACTCATTGTGGTATCCCGAGCCATCAGTAAAAACACAGACACGACACTGTTCGGGATCCGACTCCCAAGCCCCCCAAAAGAAACATGGAGACGACTCAGGAGGCGGCGGCACTTCAACCTTGGGCCACCTGGGGATCCCGACCGAGAGGGCAAACGAATCTACATCCTGGCGGCCCTCTCCGACCGGCCCATGCTCCAACATGGCGTCGCGAGCTGAGGCCAACTTGGGGTCGAGACCACAATCCTCCTCATCGTCCAACAAGCGCTGCGTCAACGCTGGGCATTCAACGAAACAATGGCCAAGCGTCTCGGCCTCGTGCGGGCACGCTCGACACTTCTGATCATCACACATTCTTTCGCTATACAACTTAGCTTTTGGCCAAAGGGAGCCAGACCACAGGCTGCGCAGAGCTCCGACCCTCCCCGCCCCAGTAACCGTAGCCCCCCTCCCGCCCGCACAAGCTCGCAGGCCTCGCGGTCATAGAGGCACGGCCGCATCATGGTGAGAGGCAATCTGGCGCATCTGCCAACGCTGAATCCCATGCCTCAGGAGATCGCGAAAAAAAACGAGGCGACGTGTCCAGGAGCGAAATCACTGGCCCCACGTCGGGCTGGATCAGCACCGACGACAGCATCACCCAGCCGACCCGCTTGAGCGACAGGACGACCACCTTGAGCGGCCCGCGTGCCGACGCCCACGTCAGCTTGCCCTCGCCCGCCTCGACTCTGTCCAGCGTCACGCGCCAGGCCTTCTCCAGCGCACTCATGGACACCGCCTGCTGCCACACGACCGCAGCGTAGTGCATGAGCGGCTCGACTGTCGCCGCGAAGACTGGGTCGTGCCACGGGTTCCGCTCGCTGGCCAGGTAGAGCGCGTTGCTGCCACCGCGGCCCTTGGCCCCAGCAAGTCGGGCCGCCTCCGAGCGCAGCACGGCCAGCTCGGAGGGGGCCACGCCGCTCACCGCCGCCCCGTGGGCGGCAGCAGGCAGCAGGCCCGTCTGCCACAGGCGCGCCGCACGCCCTCCAGCAGCACGTCGTAGCCTCGCCGCGCGCCTCAGCCGCGGCCTCACGTTCTTGAGTCTGGTCTTGACGACCTTCCTGCAGGCCTTGGTCCCATTCAGGTCGCGGCCCAGGTTCCCCATGTGCGGCTGCGAGCCCATCCTGAGCCGCCTGGCAAACTGCGCCGCTGCATCGCGGCTCTGCCTGGACGTCGCCATGTAGCCCGACTTGAGCTCCTGCAGCAAGAAGCCCGCGTCCCCGACCTCGTGCTTGAAGCGCTTGACGGCCTGCCACAGGACGCGCACGCCTCGCAGGTCCGTGCCGATCCACTGGGCTGAGGTGTCGTCGGCGAGCGTGCGCGGGATCACGTCATGCGTCGCCGGCCGCCGCAAGGCCCGCGCCGTCGCCACCACCAGCACCGCCATCGAGTGGGAGCAGCCCGCCAGGATGCCCTGGTGCGCCGTGAAGCTCTTCGACATCGAGCCGAACGCCTCGATGCGCCGCGGCAGGTGCTGAGGATGGCCCACATGAGGCGGAGTGGAAACCCCATGGCCCGAGCCTCGTCCAGCAGCCTGCCTCCAATCAAGCTGTCGAACGCCTTCCACGCATCTAGGAGCACAGTGACGCTGTGCCCTCCATTGATGTTCATGATCTCAGCCGTCAGGTTGTGGTGGAAAGCTGCTGCCGTCGAGGTCCCGCCAGCTCCACCAGTGCCCCAGAGATTGGGCACGTCCGCCTGGTCGAGCCAGGCACGCGAAATCGTCGAACGCGCCTTCGCCCACAGACGGAGGAAGGAGTTCACAAGGGCAATCATCCTGCATCCTCCGCTCGCCTTGGGCAGGCGCACCAGCACTGTGTACACTCTGTCAGTCGGCCACACCCCCAACTTCTCGCACTGGCTGAAGAGCGCCGACAGCGCGTAGAGGCCGATGTCGCTGAGGTGCCAGAGGGCCCGCGGGGCAATGCCCGTCTGGCCCACCGCGGTGCGCTCTTTGAAACACAGCGCCGCACGTCGGAGGTGACCGACGCTCATCCGCGGGAGCTCGGCCCAGTCATCAAAGTCAGGAGGCTTCTCCAGGGCGCCCTGCTCATGGACGGTCCACGCGCCCCTCCATCCGTCGAGCTCGCGGTCAGCCAGCTGGCGCGGGCTGGCCCGCGTGGTGGCCCCACGGACTTCAGCCTCAGGAGGTAACATCGTGAAGCGGCGTGCAGCACTCGCCCCGCCTGTGAGGCTCTTGGCCGCCCACGCCCGCCACTCCTTCTCACGCTCACCATTGTAGCGCCTGGTGAGCCGCTCGGCCTCCGCCACGATCTTCTCGACCTTGGCGGCCCACGTCCCCTTGCTCATCTGGGCCACGCCGCCCAAGAGCCACTGTGCGACGTCCTCAGAGAGCTGGCCAAGCACGCGATGCGACTTCGCCACGTTGCCGTAGTAGTGGTGGGTCTCGAGGATGAGGCCCACGGCCCGCTCGATGCGGTCGTCCAGGTCGCACCCCGGCAACTTGACCAAGCGCGCGCGGGCAGCGTCCAGATGCCGAGCCCACCGCGCCGCTACCATGTGGGCGCTGACCTTCGGGTCGTGCAGCTTCCTCCGTCGCGGCGGCTGCCGCGTCGGCTGGGCCAACTTGAAGACCGGCTCGCCCGCCCTGCCAGTGCGCTGCCCCCTCTCAGCCCCCACGAGGTACCAGCTGCTGCAGAGCTCGGCCTCCGCCATGCCGACGACAGCGCCCCGCGCCTGCGCCAGGAGGCCAGGCTCCTCCGCCGCGAGGACCTGCTGCAGCGCCGCCCGCCACCCTCGGTCATGAGGGAAAGGCGCCGCGCCCACTGGCGGCACCGCGGTGAACCCCCG